AATCAGTAAAGACAGAGATCATGTATTACATTGTTAAATATGCGGATGCGCGTTATCGCGTTGCTGGCTTGTATTTCATGGAAGACGCGGATGATGCTGTAGATGGGGGGCGTGTTCAACTTTCTTCTTCAGTTTTTCTGTGCCATCCCTCTTTGTGGTTGGTTGTTCTGGGTCCCTCGGTCTCAAAGTGGTTCCAGAGTTGTTGATCTCAGTCAATCCACTGTGTCACAACGTAATCTGTAAATAGAGTGGTGTCCTGTGGTACATCAGCATCGTCTATGTCCTCCGGCGCATTGAACCAGACATCTTCTACATGGTCTAACGAAACAAGGGGTAGTACATCGGCACGCCGTACAAGTTGTCTGACATCGTCGTTGTTGGCGTAGAATTGTTGAAGTCCGGTCTGCTGGACTTTCCGCCAGATACACTGTGTATATTGGAAGAAACAGCCCTTCAGACTAACATTATTATCAACTAGAAATATCAGTGGACCCAAGCCATATGGGGTTATCAAATAGTAACATAACTAATGATTATGTTTTAGGGGAAAATATTCTAATGAGTGATACTAAGTTATTAAGTCCCCCAAAACAAAGTTTTGGGGACTTATTGTTTTTACTCCGTTTCTTATTATTAAGTCCCCCAAACATGGTTTGGGGACTTATTGTTTTTATTCCTCTGTGTTCTTTTTCTTCTTCCTCTTCTTCTTCAGCCATGAACTTGTCCAGAGGTTTTCTCAGAAACTATTCAGCGGATCATCATGAAATTTCACACACATACTCATTAGGGAGTCTAGGTGTGCAACAGGCTATTTTCATCACGACCGGAAGTCAAAGATGGCCGCCAGAACCTTACTTCCGGTTTTGGAGTTTTTGGCTCTGATTTCATAGAAAATTGGTACAAAAGGGTTTTCAGGGCTGCCGAAAACAATGGAAATAGTTTTGAACAGCTCAGTTGTCATGTTAACGAAATGGAAGCCTCTGATTTGTCGAAAATGGAGGCCTCTGACTGGTCGAAATTTAGCTGTTGTCTGATTCTGCCACAAATTGGTACATAGGGGTTTTTAGGGATTCCGAACACAATGGTAACAGATTTAAAAAGTTCAGTTGCCATGGTAACCGAAATGGAGGCCTCTGATTGGTCGAAATTTAGTTGTTTTCTGATTCTGCCCAAAATTGGTACATAGGGGTTTT